TGACTTCCAATACAATTATTTCTTTTGTTGTCTTCTGCGTTTTATTTTCTACATTGAACAACATTATTCTGAGGAGTCTATAGGCCTCACCAGGCTGCCAAAGGGATTCAGTGATAACCAAGTTAAGAAGTCCTCTCTGCCATCCTTTCCAGTTCTAAATCTCAGTTTCTGTCATCCTATAATCCTATGGCCACATGGAATTTTTAAGAAACTCTTTTTTCTTCTTCAGTCATTCTGTAATTTTGAACAGACTAAGATTGGAGATTCACCAAAATGATTAATATACTGAAGGTTCACCAACATGCCTTCCTTGAGAATAGTGCTATGAGACCATTTAGAAAGTGATCTCTCTCTGGCAAACCCTCCTTGGTGCTCAGACAACTGAAACCCTTTGGATGCTTCTGGAAAATGTGGCTTGCCTCTTAGAACCATTAACCTGTGGCAAAAGGGTAGTCTATCAGAAAGCAAAGTGGCCTGAGAATGTAGAGCCTTATATTCAAATTTCTCCTCTGTCACCTACTAGTCAATGGATGGATAAGTATTTACTGAACACCTCCCATGTGCCAGGCAATAAATAGGGAAATAAAGAAAGGCAAAAGGCAATCCCTGCTCTCAAGGAGTTTCCAGTCTAATGAGGAGACAACATGCAAACAGTCATGTACAAACCAGCTCTAAGCAGGAGAAAAATTGGAGACAGTCAACAGAAGAAAGGCACTAGAATTAATTTGTTCAATATGGAGCAGGTCACCAAAAGGTAGATAGCTGACTGCCATCTTGAGTTCTTGTGTCTTCATATCACTGTTTCTTGTTTTCTTCTATTAAACAAATTAAGGCTTCCCCCTACCAAATTTGGCTTGATACCATGGGGGTATTATTTTTTATTTCTTTAGACTCAGAGAACAGAGGATTAATGGGTGAGAATTACAGAGAAGGAGACTTGATGTGGAAGGAAGAGCCTGCTAGTAATTGCAAATTTGAAATAGTGGAATGAGCTGCCTTAGGAAGCCAGGGAGTTTCCCTGACAATATGGAACAGAGGCTGGAAATTATTGGGGATATTGTAAAGGGAATTCTTGCACAGGCTTGGGGATGGACTGATTGCCTTCGAAGGTCTCCTCCAGCTCTGAGACTGGTTCTAAGTAATGTTGTGCCTTTCAGTTCCCTCATCAGTAAAATGAGACGTTTGAACAAGGCAAACTCTGAGGTGTTAACTAGTCCTCTTACACATTTGTGCAGTTAGGTATTAGGAAAGAAAGTTATCAGGGCGTAATAGGGCAAAGCGGGGTAGGCTTAGAATCTTGTGGGTTGCAATTCAGATACTTGGCCCTGGCAAAAAGGTGGGTATGTATGTGGGCGAACATGTGGAGGATCTTGGAGATTACAAGGTTTGAAGAATGATTCATTTATGAGCCACAGATTGAACCAGGGAGTCTAAGAAAGAAGGGGAGGGCTTTTCGGATACAGGGCTAGAGAAGGGAGGACTGATTTTCTTGCTACCATGAGGAGTGAGTCAGGTGGTTGGCAGAAGCAAGCAAAGATGAAGCCACAACTAATCCATGTGATCCAAGCCAGAAAGGAAATAAAAATGGAGTACAGATACAGGAACAGTCAAGTTTCATGAAGTGAGCAGGTTAAACCATTGGTACTCTGTTGGAAAGTATAGCTTCTTAGCAGAGTGGCTGAACGAGGGCTAGCTAATCTTGGGCAAGGAGAAATCTACCCTGGTTTTCGCTGTACTCCTATAATTTTCAAGATAGTATTTGAAAGTGTTTATCTATGATCTAAAAACAAAAGTTAAAAAACAAAACATAAATGCTTACTAAATCCACTCCATTGTGTACCAGTCTCTTGCCTTCTGGGGGAAAGGGAGAAATACCATTCCAGCACATTGTGTCCTGCCTGTTCTCCTGCCCTTTGGGGCTAAGGGGAGGAATGCCTTCCATCCTATCAGATCTCCTGACACATCTTCTGCCTTTGGGGGAAGGAGAAAAAATGTCATTCCATCATATCTCCTGCTTAGTCTCCTTCAGGGAAGAAGAGAAATATTATTCACTCTGATTTTCCAATCAGAGTTGCCTAAAACCCTATTTCTCTCTCCCTTCCAACCCCAAAATCAAATCTGTTGCCAAGGTCTGTTGATTTTACTTTTGGAACATCTCTGGCAACAACTCCCCCGCTCTGATCTTGCCATCTACCTGGTTCAGGCCCTCAACACCTCAAGCTTGGACTTTTTTTTTAATTGTTTCATTATTAATGTATTAAGCAAAACAAGCATTTCCATAACATGGTAGAATTTTTTAAAGAAGATAATTGCACATGAAAGTGCAAATCTATTATGTACAACTTGTTATTCCTTTTAAATATATAATAAAGTTATATAAATTTCTTTTCTTCCCTTTTTTTCTCACCCCCACCCCCACCCTAGAAAGGGCTACCATGGGACAAATAAGTATAGTAACCTCGTATTTGATGAGTGTAGAGACTTGAGTTTTGGGGATAAGAGTTCATTATTTGGTTAAAAAAAAAAACTGTTGGGAAAACTGGAAAGCATATGGTAGAAATTGGCCATAGATCAAACTTGGACTTTTGAAGTAATCTGCTGATCAGTCTCCCTGCCTCAATTCTCTCCTCACTCCACTTGTCCTCCGCTCAGTTATACAAATGACCTTCCTAAAGATTAGACCACGTCACCCCCTTTACTCAAATTCTGGTTACCTCTGGGATCCAATATAAAATCCTTTATTCAGCATGTAAAGCCCTTCCTACCACTCTAGGATTCATATACCTTATCCCATGTACTCATCTCTCTGACCTCCTTACCCTTACTTCCTGGAACAAGACGCTGCATATACCAGCTCCAGGCAATTTTGCCTGTCTCCCATATCTAGAATTCTCTCCCTCCTTAACTGTGTCTCCTGGATTCCCTAGCTTCCTTCAGTTCCAGTTCAAGTCCTACCTTCTCCTTAATGATAGTACCTTCCCTCTTCTGGGGCCATCTCCAGTCATCCTGATCTATATCTTGCCACTGGACCCAGATGGCTCCAGAGATAAGAGTGAGGCTGGTGACCTTGCACAGCCCTCTCTCACTTAAATCCAATTCATTTGCAAGTCATGACATCACTTTCCGGATGTCACAGTCTTCTTTTGGAACCAAAGACAAACATCATCTTCCCTCTCTTCTCTCCAACTTATTCTAAATATGTTTGTTATGGGGCAGCTGAGTGGTGCAGTGGATAGAGTGCTGGCCCTGGAATCAGAAAGACTTACCTTCAGGAGTTCAAATCTGGCCTCAGACACCTACTAGCTGCGTGACTCTGGGCAAGTCACTTAACCCTGTTTGCCTCAGTTTCTTCATCTGTAAAATGAACTGGAGAAGGAGATGGCAAGCCACTCCAGTATCTCTGGCAAGAAAACCTCAAATGTGGTCACAAAGAATCAGACATGACCGAAATGACTCAACAACAACATTTTTTTATATGTAGTTGTTAGCATGTTTTCTTCTCCCTTAGACTGTGAGCTCCTTAAAAGCAGGGACTGTCTTTTACCTTTCTTTGTCTCCCCAGCTCTAAGTACAGAGGCTGGCACAGAATTGCCTCTTGAATGCTTAAGGGGTGACACATTTCTTCTTGGAGGAATGAATCAGTAAAGGAATGAAAAATCACTTATTAATCACTTATCATGCACTAAGCACTGGGGTACAAAAATAGAAAAGCAAGACAGGCGCTGCTGTCAGGGAGCTTACATTCTAACGGGTGAGATAATACATTTGGAAGGCCTCAGCTGCAAGTCAGCTGGAAAAGTCCTGTATTCCTTAGGTTGCAGCCTCAAAGCAGATGGTAATGTTTCCTCTTAGGTGTCATTTCCACTCACTAAATCAAATTTATTTCCTGATGTTGAACCATTCAACAGTACCAATGACTGCTGTGGCCAGAACTTTCTCTTCTGGGTCTTCAGTAGCAGTGATTGAAGCACCCAAACGAGCAGTGGCCAGGCTGCATCTCCACAGGGCTTGCTTCTCAAGATGACTCTGGAAATGCTGTTCATCCCAAGGCTCTTGAGCTCAGGACCCTGGGCTGTCTCCAGAGTCTGAGAAAAGATGGCAGTCAAGGTGGCGATGGTGGTTTGACCCCCCCGGCACATGCTTGCGACTTCAGCTAAGCTCGATCTTAATAACAATAATAATAAAATAACATCAACAACTAACATTTATATGATTATTACTACGTGCCAGACATTGTATTAAGAACTTTACAATTATTATCTCCTTTGATACTTACAACAACCCTGGGGAGTAGGTGCTAGGTCTTAGAATTACAATAAGAGGGAACTCCAGAAGTCATTTAGTCCAACCTTATCATTTTACTAATTAGGAAACTGAAGCCCTGGGAAACTGTGACTTACCCAGGATCAAAGAGATGATAAGTATCAGAGGCAGGTCCTCTGACTTCTCTAATGTCATTGCCCCTTTCTGTATTGTGTCCCTCAAAAGAATGCAAGCTCCTTGAGGGAGATGAATGTTTGAATTTTGCTTTATATTCCCCCCAATGCCTTGTACCATGCCTTATGCATAGTAGGTGCTTAATAATTATTTGTTCAGTTGTTGTATTTAATCCTTGCCTCTGATCTAGAATCTTTCCCTTTCTAGGAATCTGGTATGGAATTCTTGAAGGAATTGGTGTGTTAGCTGTAATCACCAATGCATTTGTCATTGCTATCACTTCTGATTACATCCCACGCTTTGTCTACGCATTCAGATATGGGCCGTGTAAAGGTCAAGGATACAGTCAAGAAAGGTAAGGTTGGAATCCCAATCATACCTTTTTATGTACAATAAAATGGAGCCACATTGGCGCAGATGGATATTAGGGGTTACAGTTCTGCATACTGCACTTGTAATCGTGAAGTCCATGGTGATGCATGGGCAGCCTAGGCATATCTACCTCACACTGCCCATTCCATGGAATCATGATGTTAGGTGAAACATTGTTACTGGGGGCAGCTGGTTCCATAGAAATAGAAATAAGAAAAGGCTGCAGTCGGCTAAGATGAGAGCATCATGGTAATGCCAGGATCACAGTGATGAAATACTTTTATATGATAAGAAATGAGGAAATAGATGCTTTCAGAAAGCGACTTATATGAACTGATTCATCGAGAAATAAGCATGGCTAGAAGAATAATTTATATTGTATCACTAATATAAAAAATGAGAACGTTTATAAACTAATGAAGAATCAAACAAGCAGAAACAAGAGAATGATTATGCAAGAACAAGACTGTAAAAATAAATACCATGGAAAATGGTAAAAAACTTTATTCAATACAATGACCACTTATGATTTCAGAGCACCAATGAATAACCACACTACCCCCAACAGAGAAGTGATGAACTGAGGCTACAGAACACATATACATATACATATGTATAATTACATATATACACACACATATACATACACACATACATACATATATTCATATATGTGTACATATAATTTGTATATGTCAAGTGAGGGATTTTTTTCCCTAACTATGCCTATTTGTTACAAGAAATTTGTTTTTCTTTTCTTTTTATTTCCAACGGGGCTGGGGTATAGGAAGGAGAGAAAATAGATTTCTGTAATTTTTTTTTAAGAGAATGGTAGGAGTGTTACAGAGATGGAATGTGACATGCATTTTCAGATGAGGGCATACTGTATTATTGGTAGTTTTACTTAACCATTTAACTTTGTTACAAGAGAGCTCTCATATAGTGACTTATAAATGTTTGTAATGTAAAAACAAAGCACATCATTAATTAAGAAAAAAGAAATCATTGTATTTAATAGATGCAAAACTTGATAACCATAAAAAAAATGTGATTAGAAAACCAGCACTGATTTCTACCAAAATTATTTAGCTTTGATTGTTACCCTTGGAAGAATTATTAAATTGCTTATAACTTTTCTGCCATCTAGTGGCTGAAAAGTGGTGCCTAATATATATAGTGTGTTATTTCCTCTTTGGGGACATGCTGACCACTCCTGACAACCAGACCTTCCTTTCCCACTCTGTCTAATCCACTATATTTAAAATTTTCTTAAGTCTGGAACAGTGCTAGACTAGCAGTCAGGAAGCTCTGGGTTCGGACCCTTCTCCTAATACTTACCTTGAGCAAGTTGTATGACTATGGACAAATCACACAATTATAATCGCAGTGATCAACTCAATAAGGAAGAGGTGGAGAAGGGGAAGAAGGAGGAAGAAGAGAAAGAGGAACAGGAGTTTTATATATTTATCATATATTATTATATACTTATATTTATTTATTAATATATAATTTATAATAAAACTTTAACATATTATAATAATATATAATTATATAATATAAACTTCATATTATATATTTATCATGCGTATTATATATTCATATTTATTTATTTATATAATATATAATATATAATTATATACTATAATATATAACAAAATTTATTTATAATACATATTTATATTATATATTTACCATATATTATTATATATTTATATGTTATTATAATTATTTATTAATATGTAATTTATGATAATATAATTCTTTAACATATTATAATAATATATAATTATATAATATAATACATAATATAAAATTTATTTTTAATATGCATTTATATTGTATATATTTATCATACATATTATATATGTATATTTATTAATACTAGAATACACTGATATAATTATATACCTTAATATATAATATAAAATTTATTTATAATATGTATTTATTTATATTTTATATTTATCATATATTATTTTTATATATGATGAAAGATTTTAAAAGCACTTTGTAAATCTTAAAGAGCTATGTAAATGTTTATTATTATCATCATCATCATCCTTACCATTAATAGTAAAATTTCCTGGGGAAATCATTGTCAACACTGTTCCCACCTCACTCTCCACTGTACCCCTTGTAGCTGGATTATTCCTCTCTCTCTAGCAATTCCCACCTGTTCTCATTTCAATCTTCTAGACACTCAACTCAGTGAGCATCAGTGAAGTACCTACTATGTGTACAACAGCGGAATCATTTCATTTTCCTTTGTTTCTTCCAGGTGTTTAAAGGGGTATGTCAACAGCAGCTTATCAGTATTTGACCTGAGTGAACTTGGTCCTGGCCACTCTGGTTACTGCAGGTATCTATTTTGAGTTTCTTCTTAGTTTTCCATTATGTCTTGCCTCCCCCCTCCTCCTCCCTCTGTGCAGCCTAACGAGGCCTTTTGAATGGTTTGTCTTTGAACTCTCTTGGAAACTGGCCACCTTCAGGTCTGGCCACTCTCTTCCCTGTACTTCATGCTCCTTGGTTTTGTGGATTTCAGATACCGAGACTACAGAGCCCCACCATGGAGTTCCAACCCGTACGAGTTGACCTTACAGTTCTGGCACGTTCTTGCTGCTCGCCTCGCCTTCATCATCGTGTTTGAGGTGAGGCAGAAATCAAAAAGAAAAAGGCATCCCTGAATCAATTATTATAGTTCCTGTTTTTTATAGACAGTGGTTTTCTTCTACAAACATTATTATCCTCATTTTGCAGATGCAGAAACACATTTAAATGATAGTCACACAACAAGTAAATGTCAGAATCAAACTGCTAAGTGTCCGGGTTTGGAGTCAAATTCAAATCTGAGTCTGTGCCAGATTCTCTCTTTACTAGTGTCCCTTTGTCACATTGTTCATTTCACGTAAACAAATTCAACTCAGCATTTAATGAATACCTACCATGGTAGAAGATAATCGCATAAGGCACAGAGGATACAGAGAGAGCAAAATGCAGTCTGTTCCCTGAAGGAGTGTAGAATAAGGAGAATAGCGCATGGACACAGCTAACTGCAGTAGAAGGGATATCATGGAAAGGCTGAAGGAGAGGTCCAGGCAAAATGCTTTGAAAAGTTGGATGAATGCAGAGATCTTTCGCAGCTGGCAGTATCAGGAAAGACTTCTTAAAAGAGACACATGAATTGGAAGAATTTTTAACAGTCATTGGGGTGCATGATGGGATTGAGAGTGAGGCAGTACATTCTGTCTAAGTATGTCTGCATTAGCAGCAAATAAAAAGCTGCATCAGTTGCAGCTAAGTGGACCAGTGGACAGAGTGTTGTGCTTAGGGTCAGGAATACTCAAATTCAAATCCAACCTCAGGCACTTACTAGCTTTGTGACCTGGGCAAGTTACTTAACCACTATCTGCCTCAGTTTCCTCAACTTTAAGATGGGGATCATAGTAGCACCTACCTCACAGGGTTGTTGTGAAGATCAAATGAGATGATATTTTTAAAGAGCTTAGCACAGTGCCAGGCACATAACAGGTCCTTAATAAATACTTGTTTCCTTACTATTATTTATTAGAGATGATATGTCCAATGGCTTTTTGTCAATCCTCATCTCCTTGGCATTTCTTCACCTTTTGATGTATTTCCACCATCCCCTCCTTGAAACTCTTGTCTAGTTGGGCTCCAGTTTCCAAGTTCTTCTCATATGTCTTTAAACACCTTCTCAGTTTTCCTTTTTTTCTGCCACCACCTAGCTGTGGCTGTCCCCTAAAGAGCAGTCCTCTGCTTTCTGGTCATATCTCACTCTCAAAGAGTTTTTGCAATTCAGATAGTTCCATCCTCTTTATGCCAATGACTCCCAAGTCTACATCTATTTTTTTTTATTGCCCATCATTGTCATCAAAGGATCACTTGTTCTTACTTGCTACTGTAGAACTCAGTTTCCTCATCTGTTAAATGAGAAGACTGGACTAGATGTTGAATCCTGACAATCTATGGTCCCATGATCCCTATGTGGCACACCATGGTATGATGGATAGATGGTCAATCTTGGAGTAACAGAAGACTCCAAGTCTCAGGTCCCTCCTTTGACACTGATGGCTGTGTGATCCTGAGTGAGTCACCTCACATATCATGCCCTAGGAAACTCCATTAGTAAAAGAATTTCCTGTTCTGAAACCTTCCCATATGAATACAATTATAGGCCTAGAAGAAGAAAAAAATGTAAGTAACTATGATTTATTTGCTACTGATTTGTTGGTCAGCAACACTGACCTTGTTCACGTAGGAAAATTCAAAGACGTGCTAAAATTAGTTCTTGCCAGCTTATGAGAGCTGATTGTTAAATTTTAAGTGGGAGGCTTTATATCTCAGAAATTGGCAAACACCACCAATCAGGACTTGACTTATTGTTTTACTGATTGTCTAGACTTAAGAAAGTGGTGAAGAAAATGTTAATGATGCAGATTAAACTTTAATGTTGTCATGTGTGCATTGTTGTTGTTTTTTTTTAAATCCTTTATCCCTACATCCCTGGAAAATGCCGTCTGTTTTAAGAAGAGATTTTCAGAAATGCATGGCAGCAAGAAGCTCCCCTCAGGGAGGTCCCCTAAACTCCACTATTGTCTGCCCTTTATACACCAAAGATTTGAAGGAACCCATGTTCTTCATCTTCTTTAAGCTATAAAGATGATGCATTCATCTTATGTTGACCCATGCGTTTGGTATCCAATGAGTCCCTTGAACATAGTAGTTGCTTAATAAACATTTGTTGAATTTAGCTATATGGAAGTGGCCTGAATTTCTACTGGAGATAAGGATCTGTGAGCTCCAGTAGCCAAGCTCTAGGCTAGTCACATTCACATCTCCTTTTTATCATAAGGTCTTGATATCTTTTGAAAGATGTTATTTTTGCCATAGTGCCCCACGTACACTTATTTAATCAGCTTGTTATGGAATTGTCCTTTTGAAGCTCATATTAATCTAAATTTAAACTTCAGTTATTTTTTTTAATGATCAATGAAAAGAAAACAGTACTGACAAAGTACTTAGTTATACAGGACACTAAATTATAAATCTTTTTGCTCACCTACCTCCCCAACTGAGGCAATCCAAAAGGAACAGATCTGTAATCAAATTAATAATAGTACACACTTACAAACACTTGAAGGATTACTGTGCATTTTTCTTCACCAAAACCCCAAAAGGTCATTGATGCAAGGATTATTCACATCTTACAGATAATAGGTAGCATGGTACTGTGGAAAAGAAACTGATCTCAGAGTCAGGAAGACCTGGGATAGAGTTCAGCTTCTAACACACAGTGGTTAGGTGACCATAGGAAGGCCATGAGAAACTCTCAGAGCTGAAGAGATGGCACCAACCTGAATTGGTAGAGGGATCCCCTCCCCTTTGATTTCTCTCTCTCTCTGAAATCACAGGTCTGGTCCCTGCTCCTTACCCTCCCGCAAATGACGAAGCAGACTTAGAGAATGAAAGGGACTTGTCCAAGATCACATAGATTGTTAGAGCCAGGGTTAGAACCCAAGTGTCCAGACTCACAATCCATTCCTCTTTCTCTTCAATCCAGTTCAGCTGAACGCTCAAGATGTTTTCTCTCATAGATCCCTGGGGCAACATGTTCTGCCTTTTCATGTGCCTGGTTGGTTTTTCAGTTGTTTCTCTCAAGTCTTAGAAAACTGTCTCTCCTCATTTTTTTTTTTCACTTTCAGCACCTGGTTTTTGGAATAAAGTCTTTCATTGCTTACCTGATTCCTGACATGCCCAAAGATTTATCTGACCGAGTGAGGCGGGAGAAGTACTTAGTCCAAGAAATGATGTATGATGCAGAACTGGAGCATTTGCAGAAACAGCGGAAGTGTCACGGGAAGCAGTATCACCAAGAGTGGCCTTAGCCGATCCCAGAGCCCCAGGAGAGACTGAGCCATCAGTGGGGATGGAAGACTATGGACTTCCTGTTCCCTACAGAGACTCGTGGGAAAGCACACAACTGAATATGTGTGGAAACTGTGGACTGGGTGGGGAATGATTGCATCACAGCATTTTCTATAAATTGGGAAATCTAGGCTCCTGAGGAGGTCAAAGAAGAGCCCCCACCCAGTGTGGCTGTGTGCTCAGGTCAGCACGAACCTAAGGGAGCCAATAAAAAAATCTCAGAATCTTCCCTAAAGCACTGGGCTGTGGGGAATTTCTAGCACAGTCAAAAAAGGTTGGAGTTCTGAGCCCGGCAAGTGTACCATGTAGATGTTCACAATCAGAGCATGCTGAACCATGTTGGTCTCTGCTCCTCCAGCTTCTCTTCCCATTGCTCAGTTGAGTTGTGATGCTTACCATGAAAGAGTCAAAGGAGCTGTTGCCTTGGCTGCTGCTACTTGATGTCCTCCTTCCTGCAGACTTCCTGTTCAGTCTGAGTTGCCCTGGCCTCTCCTTGTCATCCTGTGTGCCACAGTGGAAAACACGCTGTTGAACATTGACTATGCAGTTAAAGAATTGCATGGCACTTTTCCTTTGTCTCTTTTTCAAGGTTATACCAAAAAAATAAAAACAAAAAGCCTACAAATCTGAAGGCTGTGCTGCCCATTGGAGGGAAAAGAAAACAGCACTGCCTGGACCCAATGTCTTTTGTGAGTGGTGTGGCTCAACCAAATGTTATTTTTATTTTCATAAGAAGTAGCTGGAATCCCCTACATTGAAGAGAAGATTGGCATTTTCTATGCCATTCAAAAGAGAAAGGGCCAAAGTTCTGACTTGGCATACTTTGTTAGGGTAAGGTCAGTATGAGTTTTCCTTTGAATCTGTTGGGAAAGCTATCCCAGAACGTAGCCGTGAAATTATGTAAATATATTTTTTCCTTTTTTATGTTGCATAATGATCCATCAACAGTGTGCAGTCTCTCACTCATTTGGCCACAAGACCCACTCTACATTATGCCCTTTTGTCTTCTTTGTTCAGGGAAACAGAAGCTAGACAACCTGCACGGGTTTGGCTCCTCTTTTAGAGATATATGCACTCTCTCTCAATGCATGAATGTAACTAAATATTATGGCTAGAGTTAGATATTTGTGAGCTTTGCTTTCTTCTAAAATCAATTGTTTTTGTTTTGTTTTTGAGACATCACATAAAACATAATGGAATTTGAGGGAGAAGGTCTATGTTGGCTTTGTCCGTAGGGCTATAGGAGCAAAAGTCAGGGCCGGTTTGAGTTCAGATGATTCCAGTGTGAAGAATGGCCTCAGTGAATTACAATAAACCAATACCATAGGGCATTCACCTAAAGCCACTAGAATGGCTACCTTATGTTGTCTTTTGGAGGAATGAAGAGAAGCATGGAAAAAATCAGGACAATTCCTTTCCTCTGTCCAAAAAAAAAAAAAAAGCTAGTCCCTAGTTTTTTATAGAGAATCTTTACAATAATAATGTAATTTTTTATACTTAATTTTCAACCTTTGTTCTGAAGCAAAATGTTTCCAAAAGTTCCCAGGTGGAAATCAATTTGGGAGTTAAGAATGGAAGTTGTGGAAATTGACTTTTCCATAGCTATATCAGATGTAGATATTAGAAAGAAGTTTCTTATTCTTGGAATTTGTTTCCATAATGATGACACTAAAATGATCTCTCCTCTTTTTCCCACCTTTACTTTTAGAAGAATGCCAATAAATGATAGTGAAAATACTTAAGAACTTTTCAGTTTTGTGTTAAAGGAAGAGCCAAGCTTATGCCCTATTCATTAGAGCAGAGGGGTTCTTTATATCTCTTTCCCTGACACTTGTAAGCAAGAGGTAGTCTCTACCCGATCTGCTCCAAAGATTGCCCTCTTTTCCCTCTCCAAGTTTCCTGCTTTTGTTAATCCAGCAACAACCACCATAAATTCCATTCAGGAGTTTTAGCACCACCATTTTGTAGAACACTATCTTTTCTTCCTGATTGGTTCTATGTATGCACCTTTTAGGGGGTACACTTTATTCTCTGTGCCCAGGTAAATTTGATATGTGGCCTTTGTGTATCAGACCTCAAAGGGTCTTCGTTAGGCACAAGGCAGAAATCGTCTTTCTCTGAAACTTGGCCCCCAGTGCAGAACAATGTTGAAGGTTGGTTATTTTGATTTCTTTAGTCTAGCTAGTGCCCTGCCTAACGCCCAAGACTATGTAGGGTATGTATTTGATTGTTTTTAAAAATCTGACACAAAATGCTGATTAAAAATAGAAAAATAGATAATATTTTAATTTTAAAAAATTTTTAATTATTAACTACTTCTTGAACCTTAATAAAAATGGAGGAACTTGAAGGATAGATAATAAAACAATAGTAAAATTTTCCCTGATTGATAACAGCAACAATAGAACCTAAAAAGAATTGTATTGGATTATTGATGGGTAGTGTTTCAGCAACCATTGAAGGTCTGTGAATTCAGTGACAGATCAATAATGCTTTAGTTAACAGACATGCTTGGCTGAATAGCCTGGCATGTGGTTTTTTATCTAGAATGCACATTATTTTACAAAGATATACAGCACACATTCTTCTCAGGAATTCTGTATTACATGAATGCAGTTGAAATATATTTTTCATATCCTACATCAATGTTTTTTGCAAACAATTGATCCATACCTATGCATGTGGGCTGCCTTGTCAAGCTGTCCAAAGCTCCTGGGCCTTCTTTCCAAATGGAAGTTTGTGGAAAACCTCTTTCAGATTGTAACTGATTGATTCTTTGATCCTCTTGGTCTATGCATGCACTTTGGGAGTAAACTTGAGAGAATGCATGATCAGGCATGGCATTTGAACACCACAATTCTAAAATGTGTCTGTGACGCCTCGCATAATGTCATGCTAGAGTGGGATGAACAGGAGTCTTTTTCAATCAATAAATTATTATTTACTATGACGTTTCTTCTCTGTTACGCTTTTGTTGCAACTGCTGTGGAACAAAGGATCATGCAGGTTGTGGTTTCCTGAATTAATATCTCTCTCAAAAGAGGTAATTCAGTCAGCACACACAAGTCCTTCCTTCTACCTATGTGTTACCAGCCATCCCCACCCCCTTTTAAAATCATATTAAGTAATGTAGGATATAGGAAAGGATATAATGAAAAAGGTTGTTTAACAACTAGGTCTCTGGGGAAAAAAAGAATGCACAACACACTTTTAAGTTAAATCTGGATTTTTAGCACGTTTGCCATCACTTTCCTTAGTCTAGACAATCAATAGAACAATACATCAAGTCCTGATTTATAGTGTTCGCCAATTTCCAAGGTATAAATGCTCACTCTGAAGATTTAACAATTGGCTCCTTTCAGTCAGAGCTTTCTCCAAAATACTGCTGGATCTAGGTGCTATTATGTATGTGATGCTAGACTTGGAGACAGGAAGGCCTGAACTTAAATCCTGTCTTGGACATTTACTACTTGAGGAACTTTGGACAGGTCATTTAACTTCTCTCAGCCTCGGTTTCCTTAACTGTAAAATGGAGATGATACCCCATGACGGTTCCTGGAAGGTTCAAATAAAACTTCTGTCAAATGGTTTGCAAATTTGCAGCACTATAAAATGTGAGAAAAATGTCAATGCTGGACACAGTCTTGGAGAGCATCTTGTACAACAGTTGCCATCTTGCATACCTTGCCCCTTGCCTAACACCCAGTAAGGACTTAATGCATGCTTCATCTATCTTTTCATCTACAACTTCTCTATTTTAAAGATAAGGAAAATGAGTTGCTCAGGCTGCCAGTTGGGTTGTTGGAGGATCAAAGTATATAAAGTAGGGGCAGCTAGGTGGCACAGTGGATAGAGCTCTGGCCTTGGAGTCGGGAGGACCTGAGTTCAAATCCCAGCCTCAGACACTTAACACTTACTGTGTGATCCTGGGCAAGTCACTTAACCCCGATTGCCTCAACAAAAAGCAAAAAAAAAAAAAAGTATATAAAGCATTCTGCAAACCTGAAAGGGACATAGAAATGCTAAGTAATGTGATTATTTGTTTACCATCAGTCAATCAATAAGCATTTATTAAGCACCAGCTGTTTGCCAGGCATTGTGCTAAGTACAAAGAAGTATAAAAGACAGCCCCCTGTTCTCAGAGAGTTCACAGTCTAATAAGGGAGACAGACAAATAACTACGTACAAACAAGCAATATACAGGATTGTTGTTGTGAGTCCTTCATTCTTGAAGAGGACCATGACATCAGGAAGGAATTTCCAAGATAAACTGGAGATAATCAACCGGGGAAGGCACTGGCATTCAAAGAGATCAGGAAAGTCTTCTTGCAGGAGGTAGGATTTTAGCTGGGACTCAGGGAAGCAGGAGGCAGAGATGAGGAGGGAGAGTTGTTTTAAGAGTAAAGTGTTCAGTCATTTTTCAGTCATGTCTGATTCTTCACTACCCCTCTTAGGGTTTTCTTGGCAAACATACTGGAGTGGATTGCCATTTCTTTCTCCAGCTCATTTTACAGATGAGGAAACTGAGGCAAACGGGATTAAGTGACTTGCCCAGGATGATGCAGCTACAGAATTTTTGAGGCCAGACTTGAACTCAGGAAGATCAGTCTTCCTGACTCCAGGTCTGACGCTCTATCCACTGTGCCACCTCACTGCCCCCACAAGAATGAGGCATTGTCAATGAAAGGGAAGGGAGTCTAGAACTGGAGTGTCATATGTGGGAGAAGAAACAAGAAGTCCAGTGCTGCTGGGTAACAGAATATATGGTAGAATATGTGGAGGATGGAGCTTTCACATCCCAGCCAGCAATCAGTACCAGGAAATCGAATTCCATTCTACCTGGGGCAAGTAATCCAGAAGTTACCCTCAGAAGTTAGGGATGGGCTCACCTTGTAAAGAGTTTATCTAGGCTAAAGCCACTTTGGCACCATCTGGTAGCTTCCTATTTTATGTAATTATCTTTTGTAGCTGGGTATTAAGCTCATGTGTTTCTCCACTGCTAAGGGGCTTCAAATGCAATAAACTGTTCCTTCGATTTAGGCTGCTTGGGGCAAGCCTTAGTGTCTCCACACTAGTAATCACATAAATGATTGCAAACCTTCTGTGAGGGAAAACCCACCACCACCCAGGGTAACCCTTTGCACTTCTGCATGAGCTTTCATTATTGTAAACTTTTTTTTTCTTTTATGGAACCTTACTTTGCCTCTCTATGGATTCTTCCCACTGTTCCTAGTTCTGCCTTAGATCAAGGTTTTGCTGTTGTTCAGTTGTTTTCAATAATGTCCGACTCTTCATGACCCCATTTGGGAAATTTTTTTGGCAAAGATACTGAGGTGGTTTGTCATTTCCTTCTCCAGCTTATTTTACAGATGAAGAAACTGAGTCAGACAGAGTTAAGTGACTTGCCCAGGGTCACACAGCCAGGAAGTGTCTGAGGCCAGATTTGAACTCATGAAGAGGAGTCTTTCAGATTCCAGGCCCAGCACTCCATGCACTATGGCGCCACCTAACTGCCTGCTAAATCTCTAAATCATTTAATTTGGTTTGGGTTTGGTTTAGGTGGTTGCAAACCCAAATGTGGAAAGATTCATTTCATAATTTCTTTGTCTTTAAATGGTTAGGTGATTCGATGATACATCTTCTAAGAAGTCAATGACTGGGACCTCCTGAGAATATTCAATGCAGCCCATTTTAATTCTGTTTCTCATGAAAAGCCTGTCTTGTTTTAATTGTGTTCCTATATCACTTGTGTCGGGTTGCCCTGACAGACGAGCTCCGATAATTAATTTGCAATGCTGAGTGGAGAGGTGCTGTCAGGAAATCGGAGGAGTTGGGTAGAAAATCCACTGGAGTAGGAGACAAAGGAGATCACCAGCTATAGAGTCAAAGGATCTGGGTTCAAATCCAACCTCCAGTACTTACTAGCAATGTGACCTTGGGCAAATCACTTAACCTCCCTTGTCCTCAGTTTCCTCATCTGTAGACTAAGAAGGCTAATCTTTTAAACTGTGGTCTAGTCCCTGCACTGTTACTACCTAGCTGCCTCACTTTAAGTAAGGCATTTCCTATTTCTGAGCCTCAGTTTCCCCATCCATAAAATGAGAAAGTCGTACAAGAGGATTCCAAGCCTTCTGTCATCATTGACATTTAGCTCACATGTCTACGGTGCTTGAAGTTCTTACACAATAACCTTGTGAAATGTGGCTCATTATTATCCCCCATTTTACAGATGAAGAGACTGACTCTGAGGAAAAGTAAATAACTTACCCCGGATCACACAATCAGTAGGTGTCAGGGAACAATTTATACAATTTGAACCTAGGTCATCCTGGCTCCAAAAATCCAGTGCTCTAACCAGAAAGCCACACTGCCTTTCATAGGCACAGTCTAAAGTTCAAGTCATACTCAGCTTTTACCTACATTATGATG